GCCTCAGTGAGGAAACCATTGCTACGTGTGTCATACCATATCCCCTCTGAAGGCTATTGAAGATTCATCAAGAGGGCTGGCTGATAAATGGGGTTTTGTGCAGCTCAGAAAACCTAACGTGGGGTATTCCATTCCAGATTTCTCCTGGCAGTGTGTACTGCTGTGCCCATCAGCCAAACCTTGTGTGTGAAAGTGTACTGCACCTTCAGTTCTGATAGCCAGCAAACTATAGGGTTTTGTCATTAATGATGTCTTTTTATATGCACTTTAGGGATATTTGAGGTCTTGGTAGCTCCTGTATTCTTCACACTACAAATTATGATCATTATGTTATAGGAATATGTCTTCACACTTGTCAAGTTTCTCATTTAATAAAAATAAAAAAAAACAAACCTACATGTTGGACATTCAATTCTGAATCAGTAATAGAAATTTAACTCAAAGTCTCATACATGTTTCATATACATTTAAATACCATTTTTATGCTTTGAACTATTAAACTGGTCTGTTTTTCCAGTGTTGTAAGCAATTTCCTGCAATGAAACACCAAAGCCAAGGAAAGAAAAAAAAAAAAAAAGGCATCCAAATTAATCTCTGAATCATCCCAAGGTTTTCATCTTGGGGATCAAATTGGGATTACAATTAATTTTCTTAAACATGTTTCATGTTGTCACTGTTACAGTAAATACAAGAAAGTAGTTATTTCCAGGGAGAAATGTGTAAGCCTTGAAATGGTTTGTGGTTGGCTGAGATTTTTTATTGACCAAGAGTCCACAAATATCTTCTGATCCTCAGATATGTTTATGCATTTTCTTAACCATGTTTGCTTTCCTTGGATAAAACTACTTTTGGACCCACAAAGCCACCTCTAACTGCATAAGTTTCCAATCTTCTCTTCACTACTAGAACATTACATCACTAAATACAGCTGATATCCTCTGCAATAGCAGAAGACTGGGAAATATGATTAAATTCCAGTACTGAGTATAAGGTCAATAAATATTTTAAATCATCATAGGTGTGCTCCTGTACTTTATTATTTATCCATTCAGAATTGGTATTAAGCAAGTTTTTAACAATTTAATCCTCCAAAGTTAGCTATAAGCTATCTCCAAAAACTCATTATCTAGAGAAACTATCAAATCCAGAGAGTTGCCTCTCTGTTCCATTTTCTGATTTCAAACATGCCTCAGTCAAATACTTCCAGTACTGTATTTCATTATTTGCTGCAATTAATTTTGTTGAACTATACAGATTTGGTTCTTTTACTTCGAGTTCTTAAAGTGCTTCGAAATTTTCCTTAATTAGTTTGAATTGAGCAGCCAAGGATGTATGTAACACACTGACTTTTTCCAAGGCAGGTATCTTCTAATTTCTTCTTATTTTAGATTTGCCCATACTTCATTTATTCACATCTGAGTAAAATGGCAGTTCACAGGCAGAAATTATATCTTTTTTCTGCAAATCTCTGTAAACCTCACTACCTGTATGCAGAAAAAGACAACTGCATACAGCTCCCTCAGTTCTGCTGCACATCTACCTCGTCCCATTTGTTCCTCATTCTGAACCAGGTTCAGAAGACATTACTGAAATGTTCAAAAGAATATTAATGACTGTCCTCCAAAAAAACACTTTTATTCACACATGCAAAGGGTCAAATTTCTGGTGAGTCTGAAGATCTCAAGGACTTGATTTGGTATAGAAGGATTACTGATGATAATTTACTGATGATAGTTTCAAAGCAGGGAAATATGTCAGGCATATGTCGCGTGATTATAACCAGAACAGAGCTCCGATGTGCCCCCAAAATCCAACCACTCCATTCCCAAGCATTACCCTGGACCACTTCAGCAAAGTAACAGGTTTTCTCTCTTCCAAATCTTTAAAACAACTCCTGCTGTCATCAGTCTCAGAAAAGTTTTTCCTTTTCATATCCTTCTCATGCCTGCCCAGATAGCCAGTGTTCTCTGGAAGCACATTTAGTTTGATTTTAATTTTGGGTTTTGCTAGTTTTGTGGGGTTTAGTTGTTGGTGGTGGATTTTTTGTGTTTTATTTCTCAGCAGAATCATTCTTATTTCTTCTGCAGTGCCTTGACTGGTTCCTTCCTTTCTTATTAGCTCTGACAGCCATGGCAATTGCATGTGCGTGCCTCAGAGACAGCTCCAGCACTCACTGCAGCTTGCCAAAAGATCTCTTATTTAAAATTACAACCGTTGGACAATTTCACATATGTACTTCAAAGGCACTTTGTTCTGACAATACACATCCCTCCAAAAGGTCTTGAACTTGCAAGTTGGATAATGTACCGCGTTCTCCCTGACAGAAAATATGATTGGTTTGTTTTCAAGAAGATCCTTGCTGCTTTTATCTCTTCACTTTTCCAAATCTATAAATATTTTGGTATAACACAGAACGTTAATTTATGCAGAAGACAGTCAGGTTTCTGTAAGGCCATGTGTTTCTTACAAGATATATCATATATTTGTCAAGCTGAAAAACCTACAGAGATGGTATGGAAATCACATTTCTTTTTTCTCTTATTTTTTTTCCTTACTGTTTCTTGGGTTTGTTTTTTTTTTAGTTTTTGGGGGGTTTTTTTGTGCTGCTTCAAAATGAATCAACTATGACACCATATGCTGCAACAATTGCTGAGAATGACAAAAGTAATATATTTTTCTCAACAAAACAGCACCATTAAATTAAAGAAATTGTATTTCCCTTAAATCTTCCTGTATCCTCCTGGCTCACTTAACATCTTGCTTTATTTCTATGTAGGCTCTTGCCATCCTTCCTTTCACTGGGGCAGGCTTCTTTCTAGAGAAACATGAGCATCCTCTGGCTACTGCTGGAATAACTGAGATGTCCTTCACTTTAAAGGTGGAAGAATCCTCCACCTCTGCCAGGACCTCCACTGTGCCAGCACATTCAGGGTGGATTTGCCTTGGGATTTGACATTCCCCATTTAACAGCATAAGTTTCACCTTGTTCTTCCTGTGAGCCTATTAAAATAAAGCTGCAATAAAAATTATAAAATATATATATATACATATATATATATAAAATGTATTTATATTATATATATAACGTATTTATATTATACATAACGTATTTATATTATATATACAACGTATTTATATTATTTATAATTATATTATATTATATTATATTATATTGTATTATATTATATTATATTATATTATATATGTATGCTATTATATATATAACGTATTTATATTATACATAACGTATTTATATTATATATACAACGTATTTATATTATATATAATTATATTATATTATATTATATTATATTGTATTATATTATATTATATTATATATGTATGCATATATATATATGTACACTAAATACTACTCTCAAGTTACAACTTTCTTCTTTAAAAATGTGTATCACTTATCATGTTTCAGCCTACAATTTATCTGCTTTTCACAGCAGAAGAGTTATTTGCTCCTTGCTCTGCTTGAAGGGGTCAAGTTGCAAGAATTATCAAGAGAAATCCTCACTCTGTTTGAAATTAACTGGATGTGGATATCAGTTGGCTGAACAAAAGGAATGTCTGATTATGCTCTAAGCACTGAAGATACATTGCATATCTAGGAAGATTTTCTTCTCATTTCTTAACATGTTGCTTGGTTACCTCATCAAACTTGTCATCTGTGAGGAAACCCATCTCATGAAGAAAAAAATAAACCATAAAGCTAACTCCCCTGGGACTGAAATGGGAGAAGGGCTTTCTATTTGTGCTTATTTCTGAAGTTTCAGCTCAAAACTCAGTTGCTATGTTCACACCCCAGATATGAAAAAAAATATAATTGCACAGATTATTCCCAAAAAATTGTGTCATGCCCCATAGTGGAGTGTTCTGACCCTCGGTGTGACAAACCTCACTCTGTGTTCAAAAGTTGCCAGGACCTTGGATAAGGCTTCATGCAAATCCCTTACAATCAATTCTTCACTTTTCTGTAGGCCACAGGTACTAACTTCTAAGTTAGAAGGCCAACAGACAGAGAAAAGTTTGGCACAATCCAACGCTTCACATGCCACTAAACCCAAAAATCTTGAGAAGCCTGGACTTTCTCTAACAGTTCACCATCATTTGGAGACAACACAGAGTCAGGCAAGTTTGACACTGGAAAATGGCTTTCCCAAGCATTTCTCCTGTGGTTGTGGTAGACCTATCCTTGAGTGTGCTCTGCTCATGAGATTATATCTCCCTCCATTTTCCACAGGCTGTGCCGAATTCAGCAAACCTCAGTTCCGGGGCATAAAAGAAGATGACATGACAATAATGATAATAAAGATGATGATGATGATGATAATTAGTAGTAGTAATAGCACCAAAACACTAACAAAAAGACCAACCAACCAACCAACCCTCTCCAAACTAAAAGAAGCCATCTAGAAAAGAATCCCTCAAACCTCAGTTCCGGGGTGTAAAAAAAGATAACGATAATGATAATAAAGATGATGATAATGATAATTAGTAGTAGTAGTATTACCAAAATACTAACAAAAAAACCAACCAACCACCCCTCCCCAAACTAAAAGAAGCCATCTAGAAAAGAGCCTCTCAAACCCCACGCAAAGAGCTTTGGCGGGAAGCCGTCAGCTCCCTCTGGGCCGTGTTACACCGGCGCTGCAGCGCCTCTCCCTCTGCCCATACGACCCCTCCGACCCTCCCCAGCCATCCGCCGGCAGCAGCGTGCGCTTCTCCCGCGCAGTCCCTCCATCCATCCCTCCATCCATCCGCGCCGGTGTCGGTGTCGCGGTGTTGGTGTCGGTGCCGGGCCGGGCGGGCCGGGCCGGGCCGGGGCGGGGTCCGCAGCGCGCACGGTGCCGCCCCCGGCGGGCAGACGGGCGCGGCGGCGTCACGCGGCGGTGCCGCCCCCCGCTCCCGGCGGCCGCCCCCGCCCGCCGCTGCCGCCGCCGCCGCCGCGCACCCGCAGCAGCGCCCGCTCCGCTCGGCTCCGCTCGGTGGGCGAGCGGCACAGGCAGCCCCGGCAGCCGCGCCCGGCCCGGCCCGGCCCCGCGGCCCCCGCGCAGGTAAGGCGGCGCCGCCGAGGAACAGCCCCGCTCCGCCGCGGAGGAGCCGGTGGTGGTGGTGGTGGTGGCGGAGAGAGAGAGAGAGAGGCTGGTGGGTTTGCGTGCGGCGTTGTGGAGAGGTGGATGGCGAGGAGAGGAGATGGTGGAGCGGAGGTGTAAGTTAAAGGTTGGATGCGGTGATTTATTGCCCCTTGCCGAGGCGGGGGGGAGGAGGAGGGGAAGAAGGGGGTCTGCGAGACTTGAGCGATAAAATCAATCTGCTGCATGTTCTCCCTGGCGTGAGGTGCCGCGGTGAAACGCGAAGCCGGGGCAGCGGTGGGATATCGCAATATTTATTGTTGTTATTTATCGGCGGCGGGCTGAAAGAGACGAGGGGCTTGTGCGGGAAGTGCATTGATAATTTGGGACATTTTCTATTGTGTGTCAGAAGAAAGAGGGCACTCGGCTTCTTCTATATGTGTTTGAAACTGTTTAGGTTCCTGCTGATGGTGTGCATTTTTGAAGGGGTAGAAATTATATCATAAGCATATTGAAATAAAGACATCTGCAGACTGGAAGGGGAGCAAAATCGATCATTCCAGCCGCTTTGGAAAGAATTTGATTCTAGAAATTACGTAGAAATGAAAGGAAAAGATTAATGATGCTGTTAAGTCTGCTTTTGAATTAGAGCGCTTCTCCCTTTGGCTGCAGCAAGGTTGTTTTTCAGATCCTTTTATTTCATCCGGTAATTTGTGAACTCTGGTCTTCCCCGCACCCAGAGACAATGCACTGTATTTCATACAATAAGGATTCTGCCAAGGATTGTGCATGCCAACCGACCTGGCATTTATTAAGGATTTATTGACCTATGGGTGTCTCTCTCTCTCTCTTTTTCTAATTTGAAAAGGCTCAATCGGGGCACCTGTGACTAAATCATGATTTTTGAAGAATAAAAAATGGTTGTAAAGGGGTGGGGGAAGCACACGAATTCACTGGCGAGGCTCTGAATGCAATAGCTACATTTATATCGGTTTGTGCCTATTCCTCGCTACATATGTGCCTGTTCATGGATACATTGCTGGGAGGGATGCCTGGTGCTTGAGAGCCATTTGAGATAGATAGATTCACAGATAGATAGATAGATAGATATCAATAAATTGTCCTCTTCCGAGAATGAAAGTGTCCCTCTGCTTTGGAAATGACTAGACAAGACTGTGCTGTTTATTGGCAATGTGTGGATTACACCGGCAGTAATAAATAAGCAATTGTTTGCTGGGCTATTTCTTGCGTCTTTCTCCTTTCTTTTACGGTCTTTCCACCTCTCTGTCTTTTTGTATTTCCTTTTTTTTTTTTTTTTTTTTTTTTTATTTCCCTCTTTTTTTTCCTTCTTTTTCCTTTCCCCCTCTCGCCGCTGCTGCTGCTGTGTGTGTGTGTGTGTGAGTGAGTGAGGGGGCAGGCAGGCGCTGCAGCCAGCGGCAGGCAACGGGCAGGGATGCAGGGATACAGGGATACAGGGATAGGGATGCTCTCGAGGTGGGATCCCCGCGCGGCTCTCTCCGCGGACACCTGTAGGGATCGCTCTGGCACGCACGGCGGCCGCGCACACACGCTCGCACACACTCACACTCGCACCGCGTCCTTGCCTGTCTCCCCACCCCTGACAGACACCACAGGCTCCCGGCGCCCTCCCGCTCCCGCGCCCCTCGCACGGAGGCGCAAACCCTTCCCTTCTTTAGCCGCGCTCCTCCCGCAGCCGCGGCGCCCGCCCCGCGCACCTTGCGCTCCCCTCCCTTCCCGCCGCGCCTCCCGGATTCCCTCCCCACCGCCCCTTCCCCCGGGGCCAGCCCGGTAACCCCCGTGAGCACACACACACACACACACACACGCACCCCGTCTCCTCCAACCTCCCCTTTCCCCCACTCATCACACAGCCCCCTCCCTCCGTGTCATTGTCCCCGCACGCCGTGTCTCACACCGCCAGCCAGCACCCGGCTCCCCGCACCCCTACCCGCCCCAAACCCGCTCCATCACCGCCTCCTTCCCCTCCGCCGCAGCGGCCGCCCGCGCATCCCCTGCCCGCCCCGGAGCGCAGCCCCCCGGGCTCCGCCCGGGCTCCCCCCGGGCTCCCCGCGGAGCGCAGCCCACGGCGGGTCCGCTCCGCTCCGCTCCGCTCCGGTCGGGGCGGGCGCGGGCAGCGGCGCCGCCGCCCCGTCGGGCCGCGCAGGGCGGAGCTGTTCCGGGTGCTGAAGCGGGAGCGGCCGCTCGGCTCTGCCGTGCCGCAAGCCAGCGGCGCCCCAGCCCGCGGGCACCGCCGCGCCCGGGAGCGCCCTTTGGGGAGCGGGGATGCGGGGGCTCCCGGAAAATCCCTCGACTGGATGGTAGCGGCTTTGCCCCGGGTGGCTGCTGCCGAGGGGCAGGGAGGGCGTGGGGGGAACATGGGGTCTGCCTGATGCTGGTGGGCACGCCTGGTATCTGCCCGCGAAGTTTGGGGGGGTTTCTCCTCTTCTCCCTTTTGCTGCTCTTGCCCATCTCACGTGTGGCAAATAATAAAAATAATCGTGTTGACATTTAGAGGAACGAAATTAAATATAGAGAGAGTAGGAGGTGACTTAGCAGCTCTGAACGTGTCAGGTGCAGGCAGCTGAGGTGTGTGCCTGTTTTTAAAACATTTCTCCCTGGCAGGGTCATCTCTGCCCCCTCTCCCCACACACGCATGCACACGCACACACACACACACACACACACACACCCCAGTCCAGAAGAGGGCTTGGCAGCAGCTCTGGCCATGCTATTGTGCCTGCCTAAGTGTTGCTGGCAAAGAAACGTAAGGGAGGGGAAGGGGAAGCGCTGAGTGAGGGAGGTGTTGGAGATCCTCTCCTCCATCAGGAGAGATCTGCTAATACACAGCTTCCAGGAAAGATACAGCAGCTCTGGGGCAGAAAAGCAGCCTCTCCGCTGAAACGTTTTGGATGTAGAGATCTCTTCAGAGGATAAGGGTGAACTGTGGCATATATATAATTTTGAAAACAGAGGAGCTGTTCTCTCCTTGTTCTCTTAAATAAGGGCAGCTGAGTAAATATACATAAAATACTGCAACCAATTTCAGAGGACTAACACCTGGGATTAGCTGATCTGCATTGTGAATAATGTCAACATCAGAGCTGGCTTGAATTGGATTTTCCCTGCCATAGCAGAAAATATCAGCCCCAGAGGAAACCAGGTAGCAGAAAAAAGAAAACGTTTTCAAAAACATTAAAAAAAATTTAAAAAGCTATCTAAGAAACTATTGCAATTCTTCCTCTCCCCAGGAAAAATAAACCAGTAGGTGTGCCATGCGTGGTGGAGCTTTTCAGTTCCTGCTGGGAGCTTTATTTTTTTGACCTGTATTAGAAACTACCAGAACTGGGCTTGGTAGCATCATCTGTATGACTTGGAGCTTGTAGCTTCACAGGTGATGGTGTTTTCAAAAATAAATTAAAATAAAATACACTGAAGGATAAACACCACCTTTTCTGTTTAACGTTGTTCTTGCAAGAATAAAATGCACTACTGAAATATTTGAAAGTTTTGGAAAGGTAAGTAGTTTACATTTAGATTATACTATAAAAATGTAATCTAGTATAAATATATATGTTGAGATTTGTGTTTAGCACTGCAACCTATTTCAATTTCTCAGTAACTCGAAAATTACAGCAGCATTCTCCTAATGCCCAACACCAGTCAAAATGAAAAAATAATCACAAACGTTCACTATTGATCAACTTTGTGATTCAACATGTTATTAGTTGTCATTTCTTATTATTCTGTTTCAATTCCTTGCAGATTAGAAACAAAAACAATAGAGGAGAATCACCCACCCCCCTGGATCTTAGCCTTGGCCTTTTTCAAGCAAAGAGAAGAGGAGCTGCCAGGCTTTGCATGTCAAGTGGCCACTCGGCTGTTTGACAGCTTCTGGGTTTCAACCCCGTTGGGATTGAGGCAGCTCAAGCAACCACGAGCGATGAGTCCTGTCGTCTGCTGACGCTGCTCCAGCACCATGGCAGACTGGCTGTGATATGACAAGAGGAGCCATCCTAGGGAGGCAGCGCTGGGATCCATAATTGGCTTCCTGGGAAACTACAGCTGGTGGAGAGGATGTAAAAAGAGGCGCGCATGTGCCAGGATATTGCTACAGCCTTGCTGAGCTGGTGGATCCACTTGGAGGAGAGTTTTGCCACTGATCTTGGTTTTTTTCCCGGTTTGGTAATGTTGGCTTTGGGGAAAATTTCTGCTGACTCACCCACCCCTGGACACCTTTTGCAGAGCGTGGCCGGCCAGTGAAGAGATCCGACGGCGCCTTACCCCGACTGCGGGTCCCCTCCGGTGACCCCTGGCACCATCTTGTGCCCAACCCCATCCCGTGGGGCAGCTGCAGCCCCCCGCCCCGGGGAGTCTCCCACAGTGACCCCCGCACCCGGGGCGGGGGTGAGCGTGGCCAAAGCTTCCAGCGCGGCCGGCGCCCGGCAAGATTTTACCCTGTCTGCCGCCGGGGCCCCGGTGCCGCCCCCCGCCAGCCCTGCCGCCCCGCTCAGCCGCCCCAGGCCGCGCAGGATGGGGGCGGTGCTGGTGCGGCGCGGGGGCTGCCTGCTGCTCTGGCTGGCCCTACTGCTGGGCTGCTGGGCCGAGCTGGGCAGCGGGCTGGAGTTCCCGGGTGCGGAGGGCCAGTGGACCCGCTTCCCCAAGTGGAACGCCTGCTGCGAGAGCGAAATGAGCTTCAACATGAAGACGCGCAGCTCCAGCGGGCTGGTGCTCTACTTCGACGACGAGGGTTTCTGTGACTTCCTGGAGCTCATCCTCACCCAGGGAGGGCGGCTACAGCTCAGCTTCTCCATCTTCTGCGCCGAGCCCGCCACCCTGCTCTCGGACACGGCGGTCAACGACAACCGCTGGCATGCCGTTGTCATCCGCCGCCACTTCAAGAACACGACGCTGATCATTGACCGAGCGGAGGCCAAGTGGGTGGAGGTGAAGTCCAAACGGCGGGACATGACTGTCTTCAGCGGGCTCTTCCTAGGAGGGCTCCCGCCGGAGCTGCGGTCGGCGACGCTAAAGCTGACGCTCTCCTCCGTCAAGGACCGGGAGCCCTTCAAGGGCTGGATAACAGACGTGCGGGTGAACTACACGCAGGCGTCGCCGCTGGAGAGCCAGGAGGTGCGGCTGGATGACGAGCAGAGCCGGCTGTGCGCCAGGGACGACGTCTGCCTCAACGGGGGGGTCTGCTCGGTGCTCAACGACCAGGCCGTCTGCGACTGCTCCCAAACGGGCTTCCGAGGGAAGGACTGCAGTGAAGGTAAGGGGCCATCTCAGCTCGCCCCATCGCCCCACTCCCCATCGCTCCGTGGAGGGGACGGGTTGGAGGCCAGGCCTGCATGAAGTTTCATCTGTATGAGTGGATCTTCCTTCCTCCCCTCTCTTCCCACCATGTCCCCGGTTCTCCCACCATGTCCCCGGTTCCCCGGTTCCCCTCTTCCCCACCTTCTCCTCCATGTCTTCCATGTGTCTCTGTGGCCAACCATGGTGCCATCACTTTTCTGTTCTCTGCGAGGATGGATGAGAGGAGGAAGGGGATGTTATCTGAGCATCTTCCCGTGATTTCGGGTTGTTCTGAGTAAAGGAGAGATGGGTGCTGGGTACCAGGTGTCACCCAGATGGCAGGGGGTGGCTGGAACCACGCTCGATGGGAACTAAGGGAGGGGATGTGCATGCCTATCACAAGCAGCTGGTGGTAATTAATTTGGGGAGCAGGGAAATTGATGCTGGGAATAATTTAACTGGATTAAGTGCAAAGGTGACCTGGGCTTGGTTTTGTAGGGTAGAGGAGACCCAGAGTCCACTTTGTATTTGCCTCTGCTATGTCATTGAAATAAAATCAGTGATTTATTTGTGAATTCCTTAAATTGTGGCTGGGGAGGAAGGGGATTAAACAGAGGACTATGTTTTTGCATGAATGTGAAGGGTACTGCTTTGCAACATATTTAGCAATTCACCATGCCAGTTAGACAGGCAGAACACAAAAGGGTAAAGGGGAAGAACATACTCCAAGACCACAAAATGACTGAGTAGTTTTACCAAGGAAGAGGGAACCTAGAAAAACAGCAGTTTCCTTAATCTCATCTACAAATAAATCACTGGGTAAAATATGATTCATTTCAGTGCCCATTGTTTTTGGCAAATGGAAAGAATGTGAACGTTTTCTTTGCAGATGCATGCAGGACTCTTGTTTTTATTATTTTGTTAGTAAATGTACCATTGCTTGCAGCTCCTTAGGCATAGAAATTATGTATGTTGTGTAGCTAGAGCAGGACGTGAAGGTGTATAAATGAAATAAGAGTAAATGTATCAAGGGAAAATATGATTATCATGTCAAAATTGAAGAGCAAAGACCTAAGTTTAAAATGTAAAAGGTAAATATGAAAAAGATATTATCAAGGCCAAATTAAGATCTTCACTGAGTGGCTGCATGACATTTATGGCTGAATAATTTGCCTTTGGCATTTCTATCAGATTTCACTCATTATAAGAAAGAAAACATCATTTGTGACTGTGCTTTATTATGTAACACCTTCTGTCCTTAGTGTCAATACTCAAAATGCTACAGTCATTCTGCATCCTGTTTACTTTATCAGCTGTTTATCTCTCATCTACCATTCGTGAAAAATTCAAACCAAATTAACACTTTGAATAATTTTTTATAGGAACAAATAATAATTTCAGAAAATTAGTCATTTGTACTTTCAATTGCACCCATTCCTAGAAACTGTAAAATGAAACATCTTTTATATTAGGTAAACCCTCTCAATTTATTCAGTATTTGGGTGTCAATTTTTAATATATGATACTACGTAATATATAGGTGTATGTGCAATATGTCTTAATGTCTTAGCATCTCTGAGTTAGGCCCTATTATAAATAAAAAGAAATTATGAGGTGTAACAGCTTTGTTAAAGCAATAATGATAATTTAAATACTATTAATACTATTTTACATTTATATGCCCTTTACACTAAAACTTAGTTTATTTCTTTGAAGCTATTTTGCATATATAATACTTATGTGAAAGAGTTCACATGGTTGCATGTAGTATCAGTCAGATAAGTTATTGCCTTTACATAATAATAGGTTCAGTGACTATTTCTAAGGAACACTTTTACGTTTAGATAAAATTTTAGGGAAATATATGTCCATATTTATATTTAGTGAAAATTGTATGGAATTTTTAAGATAATACTCAAAATAACATTTAGAATCCCCTTCAAATTAAGGTAAAATGTTGATTTCATGAAAGTGCTAGTGGTCTACAGTAGACATTGGTTTACATTAGACATCATCAAGATTCTCTTCACATGTCCATTGACTACTAAGAAGCCTTATAAAATAATGGGAAAGCTTATAATTTTAGCAGAAAGTATTCAGATTCTGACTTCATTTGAAACAGGAGGCAGCATTTGCCCTGACAGCAACATAAATGGAACCACATTGCAGTTTATACCTGTTAATTGAGAAAAGGTAGCAGCTAACACTTCCATCAGTCAAGTTTTGATGAAGGGATTCGAAGTTACTCACATGTGCCAGCAAAGATATTGAACAGTTATAAATTATTTAATATTCTAAGAAACTGAAAAGGCAAGAGGACAAGTAAAGCCTTTGTATCTGCCAAGAAAGAAACCTTGGCTTCTGTCCTTTAGTTTTTTGTAGCCAACATAGACATTAAGCTGTTGAACTTTGATCTTTTGTTCCCAGAATGTGTAAATTTCCCACAAGCCTTGGAAATACATTGCCATTGCTGGAGGATCATCTCAGGCTGCAATTATCTGAAGGGTTCTTTTGAGTTTTTTTTTTAAAAATGGTTTTAGATACAAAGACCCCCCAACTTTCCATTTTTATCTGAAATTGTAGCCACATGTCCTAGTTGATACCTTTTCTTTAAAGGTGAAAGATGGTGATTAAATTCTACTTTCCTTGGATTTTTTGAATATATACAAATTTTTTTTGCCTTGGATTTGTTGTTTTTCTATGTCTCTGCAGTATGGTAAAATACAGAGTTCCTTGGTGTAATGAGGACTGTAGGAATTAATACCAACAACAACAAAGAAAACCTTTTCAAAATTTTCTACCCTGACTTGCACGTTTAGGAATTAAAAAGTAATTGATTTAGAGTCAACGTTTCAAGTCTTAAGATGCCATTTTAAATACAAGTTCAGTCATTTTCAGGAGAAAATCTGGTGAGTTTTTTCCCAGATTTTCATCTTTGAAAAGCTTATTATTGATCCCTTAAGTAATATTTTTTCTTGTAAGAATGAAGTTCAACCAAGTTTTGGGTTGGATTTTTTTGTTCTTTTGGGGTTTTTTTTGCTTCTTTTTTTTAACAAAAAATAGTAATTTAAATTATTTCCAGTAATATAATAATATAGGTTATAGTAATATAAATTATTTCCAGTAGGCTTAACTGGTTTTATACCTGTCTAAATCAGGAGTAGCTTCATTTATGTTTTATGAACTACACCACTGGGAGAATAGTGCAAGCTAGGAAGGAACCATTCAGTCATTCCTTTTGTTCCAGTAGGATCTAAGTTCTCTTCAATGGGAGCATTGGCATAAATCAGAGAACAAGGACTGGAATTTCTGCTTCAGTGTCAAGGATGTGCAATCCATAGCAAAGAAAAATATGATCTCTAGCAGTTCTCTGGTTGATAGGCCCATGAATAAAAACAGCACAAGAGCCTTCTAAAAGATAAAATCTCTGCTTTGTGCTGAAAAAGGCAAGGGTATATTAGTCCACATAATAATAGTGATTCAGTAGAAGGAAAAAATACACAAAATTATAACGAATTTTATTAGGAATAAGAGTAGCATTGAAATAGACCCTGACTGCCATATCAGTTTTCTGTTAAGTTTTTGACATACAATTCAACCTTCTATTAGGTGAAAATTACAATATTTCCTGAAATTACTCAAATTGTTATGGCTTGATCCTATGATAGGGAGAGATTTTTATTAAAAATATATACTTCAAAGTCAGATTTCTGGTTCATTAAGTCAAGTTCCTAGAAGGTAAGGAGAATACATTCTTCATATCAGTGAACCTCCATATTCTTCTTGTAATTTTTCTCCATAGGTTAAAATGTCAAAACAAAAAAACACCTCTCTATTTTGCCTATTAAATGACTAAAATAGTGACCTTCTGACTTTAGAAAAAAAAAAAATCATTTTCCTTTCATCCTTATTTATATAAAAATAGCCTTGTCCAGTGTCCTGTCTGAGAAAGAAAGCAGGCAGTTCTGAAAGAGGTAGTAAAATACACATGGTGCATTGAGTTGGGGAAAGTTTCTCACTGATGCTAACTTCTTGTCACTCCATGCCTTTCTGCTTTTCTGTATCTGTAGTGGCTTGAAAAAGTTGCAGACAGGATCCTTTATCTTTTTAAAATACAGCTTCCCTACTTTCCTCAATATTAGCATCTATTCAGGCAATTGCTCTGCGAGTTCAAACTATTCCTGTTTATAACATGCATTTTAGCTGTTCCACTGAGTTTCTGGATTGTGAGAAAAATGAGGGCTGTTCAGGCAGCTGTTCACTGTAAGAGATACTCTTCCTTGTCAGATATTCAGAAGTTGATGCCAGCTATGTTTTGAACTGCGAAAGTGATTTTTGAGGAAGTCAGTTCCAGATGTCTCAGCCTAGCCAGCACTTAGATTTGTTTGTTTGGGTTCTGAATATACTGCATCAGTCTTTGTTGTATTTCCTTTTGCATGTTTACTTTTTTAAAAGCCATCCAATATTTATATCTCTTTAAAATTTTTGATATTTTAATCAATTTTGTTCTCTTTATGCCTTGAAGGAAACATTTGAACTTCTTTTGGCATTATTTATCTATTGCAAGTTGTGTGTTTGAGTGAGATGCTGTTGAACTCATTGCCAATAGTCAATCTTAACAGAGTAGTCACCATGGCCTTTTTGCCTCTTGAATCCTAGCTAAATGTACTTTGGACTATTAAATACTGTGAACAAAACTTGCATTTTGATTTACATTTCAGAATCTTTATCTGTATGATCTGTATTTCTTCTTCATGATGATTTTCTTGTCAGTGTCAGTGGCCTCTGGGGGGATGTTGGATTAGAAGGAGGGCTAGAAATGCACCAGAAATTGCAATGAGGTTCTGTATATGTACAAATCATGCAAATAATTTAACATTCATTATTTCACTTTATTTAGTATTTTGAAATGGTGACTTTGTTGTCAGAGTAGAATCTTAAGAGCAGATAGTCAAGTAATCAAAAAGTCATTCAGAA